AAATCGGGGTGTGTGGCGCGGCGCGGAGGGTGTTGGGGGGGGGGAATAAAGCAACTTTCTAGTATCAAAGCTTTTGAAGTAGAAGGTCTAATTATCAACAAATTGTCGCTGAAAAACTGTCAAGAAAATAATTACTAGGAAATACTAAACATACGAAATAAAATAGCGCGCTTTCAGCAGGCAGACCCAAAGTGGGAATGAGCACGCTTTGAAAAAGACAGACTCAAGAGAGGTTTGCACTAAATGTAATGTTTCATGTGTCAAACGCAAGTGTGATTAGTAAAAAATTCACAAGTGAGGCCAAAGATCACATTTTAAAGGGCCACATTTTCTAGGAAACTTACTTAAAAAAAAAAAAGCGCTTATGTGTTTATACTGTATCCCACATAGCTCAATAATGATTTCATAACTTGCACATGCAAAGCACATGTAGCATTTATCAGAACAAAGGTAGCCAAGAACTGTGGATTGCTGAGAACAAATAAACCTCTCCCACAATTAGATATTGGTTAACTATGTATTGTTCTAATGGTTGAGTCCCTGTGAACTTTTACTGACTATAGCAGGATCCCACAGATGCACCAACAGCACACTATCACCCATTTCATCTATTAAGGCAAGCACTAGCTGGAGCCACGGGGGTTTTTTCTGCTCATGTGTTCTACCAGCCTTAAACGTTACTGCAGCAGGGGGAGGGTAGGTGTAGAAACACATCCTTTTACAGAACATAAGGATTATGCTGCTTGGTCACATACACTGCACGGTGACTCACTTATTACTCCAAGATAAACACAGCGAGAACAAGGCGGTTTAGTTACAGCGCAGCACTTCATTTACCACACTCAGTCCAAGGCTGGGTGGAGGACTGAACTTGGGGAATTTACCTACAAGTGAACTACAATTAATTTTGCACTTGCAGTATCTCAGAGTTAAAGAGAGGGTTTTGGGGTTTTTTTTCCCCTCTTGTTCTGTTTGGTTTTAGAATAGTGAAGACAGCTGGCAGTAACAGCAAATGATCCTGGTACGTTCCTAAGGCACAGCAAGGTACGTGCCTTCAGTCGTTTTCCATCTCTGGGTTCCTGTTCATCGACCTCTCTGGCACGTCTCTGGCTGTATGTTAGCATCTCTCAGGCAGTGCAAGCAGCAACATATCCTGTCTTCAGCAGTGGTATTAACCTACGTCTCTCTTGTCACTTACTTTCTAGCAAAGATGCAAATACTCATTTCAGTCCCAGCTCAGTACTGCATTGCATGTGACACTTACTTTTGGTCTTCATTAACTGAAGCTCCAGACTTGTTATATGCCTATTCAAATTTAATGACTGTCCTGACATCAGCGCAATTACACCCTGAAATTTAACACAATATTAACTATGTCTTTTTTTTAGAAAACAGACTGACACAAATTATGAAGAAGCTAAAAATAGTTTAAACCACTGTGGGATCTCAGAATGGAAACTGATAGAGCTGATAATACATTGATCTGAACACTTACTGCATTGTGTCCTATTTTAAACTGTCCAATCAGAGATTAAAAATAGTTTGCTAACCCTGGGGGCAGGTTATTCTTATTCTGGTGCTGTCACCTTATGTTGCCTCAGTGTTTAAAAAAAAAATTATTCTCTTGAAGAGTGCAACAGCCATTTTCTAGGAGAGTACAGTGCCCTGCAAGTAAAGGCAAGTACCAGCTTCCTCCTAAACTCTCATCTGTGCTATACCACCAGGACTTATGGTGTCCCTGCAAAGGAACTGCATTTAAAAATGCATTACTCAGCTGCAGCAAAGAAACTTTTCTAATATAAACTTTTGCTTACTTTGCCTGCCGTGCTCATGTTGACCGGTGTGTCTGTTTCGAATCTTGCCACCACTGATTTCTTGCACCAAGAATTCAGTCAGCTGCAAAGCAGTCACGTTGCTGATACCACAAGTCTTGCCTGATACACTGGAAGCTGGTCTTGTGAAGCGCTCCTGCAAGTGCACTGCTCTTTCCTTTTAGCCAAGCCCTGCCTTAGCCAAGTCCCACCCCTTAATCAGCCAAAGCGTTAGAATGCAAATAAACCACCCATCTGCTGAAACCTCACTCTTCACAGTGCTTCTGTCTTCCCGATTGCTTTGTCATGCTCTTCCCCACCTTTTTCACATCCCACGTATGGTTGCCTTCAACGTCATGGGAAGAAAGCAAAAGCCCTGGCTGGAAGCTGTCCCCTCTTTCCACCTCCCTGGGAAGCTGCCCTCCAAACCTGCTGCTCTCAGGGGCACTGTAGGTGCAAAGAGAAAAGGGGAGAGTGGCTCTTGAATTCACAGCAGCAGGGACGCAGTGGGAACATGAAGGCTTTGCTGAATTACTTTGGTGACACTCGTAAGAGCCCAGCTGATTGATATATTAAAACATGCTATTGTGCAAGCTGCTTAAGAAACATACACTGTCTGGCTGCAGCTGTACCTGCTCCTGATTCCTTAGTTTTACAGTCTGGCTACTCATTAATCTGTTGGAATGGATTTCAGTGAACAGTGACCATGGACAACGTGCTGATGGGAAAACAAAAATCGATAATTCAGCAAGAAGTGCTGTGAGATGATGTGTGTTTCTTACCACGTGCAACACCCTGCTCGATTTGCGAGTGACTACTTGACCCATTGGTTCCATCAACATCCGCAAGTGCAGGCCCCATCACTGCTCACGTGCCCACATGCTTACCTTCTCCTGGCACAACGTCCTGGTGCAAGGGATTGGGTGGAGGTCAGCACCGCATGCCTTTGCTGTGGATTTCAAGCCTCATCTATTTTCAAATTATGCCCAGCATTCTGAAATCAAGGTTTTCCCTTCAGAAACAAGCAAAAAAGAGATAAAAATACTGCATATAACCTGACTAGTAATTACTAAGTACAGCACTCTCTCAGGTTTACCTGTATGACTGTAATTAATTTAAGAAGGGGTACAGGAAGAGGAAGCAGGGAGAAACATGGTAGATGTATGTAACCTCAGGCAGGTACTTCAGGGACAGCGGGGCATTATAGTGGCCTCAGAGACACAACTCCAGCCTGCCAGGGACACGAGCTGTGTTTGGCCAGGGCTAGAAGAGCCGAGGTCAAAAGCACCCGCTAAACAATTTCAAAGACTCACAGAGCAAAAAGGAGAGTCTGGCCTAAGGCTTCCTATGGAAGGTACGGCCGTCCAAGCCATGAGCAGCCAATTTCTCCAGGAGAATGCTGTGGGAAACGGTGTCAAAGGCTTTACTAAAGTCCAGGCAGACAACATCCCCTTGAGCCTTTCCCTCATCCACTAAGCGGGTCACCTTGTCATAGAAGGAGATCAGGTTAGTCAAGCAGGACCTGCCTTTCATAAACCCATGCTGACTCAGCCCGATCCCCTGGTTGTCCTGTACGTGCTGCATGATGGCACTCAGGATGATCTGCTCCATAACCATCCCCGGCACCGAGGTCAGGCTAACCATCTCCTTTGGCCAGAGTTGGTACCTCCAACTGGGAACACTGGGCAGTGGATCTTGTCTGCAGCCTGTGCAGGGGTAGGTGGCATGGTCTTTAGGAAGAAGATGGCAAGAAAAAGGACACCAGTGGAGCATGGTGCCAGTGAAGCATGAGCCGACTTGCATAACTATGTTGCAGAAGCTGCTTTGTTTGCATTGATCTGCCAGATGCTCAAGATGCCCAGGCTCAAGGTGCACAGCAGCCCTGGCACGCAGGGAAACTACAGTGCTGCCCCTTTATGACTTGCTTGCACAGGCCTTCAGGCTCAACACTTTGCTCTGATACTTGCTAGAAAATACTTAACTGATCCCTAGACCCCATCTTCTCCCCGTTTATGGCAGCTGACTATAAAGAGAATTTTTCTTTATGCTTACCTATATATTGCATTCCTTCTTACACAATTAAAATATGATACATAATTCCTTTTTCAGCTTTTTAATCTCACTTTGTCCAACTGAACACGTGGCACTACTATTCTCTCTGCAGTGATTTATTAACCTCAGCACATCCCAGTGAAATGTAGCAAGAGGCAGAAGAGAAAGAACACGTTGGAGTTGTTAATGGCTGGTGAGCTTGCACACAAAGGAAGTTAGGAGCAGCGAACAAAGGCCCGTTCACGCGACTCCAGGTCGTCTTTAATTGGGGACTGTAACTTGGGCAAAGGACATGAACCATTGACCATGCTCAGCAGACCGTACCCATAGCCCCAGATTCTGACTACAGGCACTTGTAGTGGAGGGCGGTCCTTCTTTACTTCCACTTCACAGGCAGTACAGCCTGCTTCCCACTGCTCACTCCTATCAGAGCTGAGCAGCCTTGCATCGCTTGCTTTCCTGAATCAATGCATGAAACTGACTCCAGGACTGATGTCAGTAGGTAACAATATTTCGACGGCAAGCCCAATAGTCCTAGGCTGCACTTCAGGCCATTTTCTTTCTCAGTTCCTTGGCTCTGGGGCGCAAGGAGCAGGCACAGCCAGTCTCCCAGCTGCAGCTGGCAGTCAAACTGCCCCAAGACTGCCCTGAGCTGAGGTGCTGACATGGGTTTTTGGAATAACTGGTCGCTGTGGATCCCCTCGGCCAGCTACACCCCTGTGCAGCATGCTGGCTTGCACTGCAAAAAACACCATCCGTGGCCAACTTCTTGACTGAAAGCCCCTAAGATGGGGGTATTCAGAGAGGCTCTTTTCCACTCAAATTATTCAGATGCCCTCCTGCAGAGTCAAGTCTAGAATCAAACACAATTGCTCCATAAGCAAACATAGGGTCAATGAGCATATATGGCACGGGACAGGAGTGTATGTGGAAAGCAAATCAAAGATCAATTGACCTGAATCCAGGAAAAGGACAAGCAGGGGGCAGGTACACTAACCTGCGGTAGTATGGTGTTTGGGAAATTGCCACAGCACAGATGCAGATGAATGCTGCTGGGGTCCCTGACTTCAGAAATCTGGTAGATCTGTCATGTCCCACCCATAACCGGGGGGGCTGAGCCTCAGTGGGAAGGGAACGAGACAACAGGCTTACTTATGGCACCTTGCTGTGACCTCCCCGCTGCATGCCGCTAGAAGAAAGTTTGCCCATTTCAGCCAGAAGGTTTGACTTTCTGCCATATCCCCTCCACATTTCCTGCTTCTGAGACTTTCTTTTCAGGTCCATCGAGCCATACCTTCTTTATTGCCTTTCTAATGTTTTATTAGACCAGTGTAAAGATCTCTGGATGTATTCAGCAGCTGCTCAGGATTGCTGAGTAATGGTTCTGGCAGTACCCGAAACTTTACAAAGCTCAGTGATGAAAATCAGAGGTTTCCTAAGCAGAGCAATGATGCCTGATGGTGAAACACAGTGATCATATTCTTTTAGAGCTTTTGTGCAGCTTTTCTTTTTAATGTTCCGTTCTCCATCTCCATGGTGGCCAGGGAAAAAAATGACTTAAACTGAAACAAGGAAGATTCAAATTACACTTCAGAAAAAAACGTTCTCTGGACACAGATAGCAAAAAAGGTAGATTGCTCGGACATGGTGTGGCACCATCATCTTGGAGGTCTGAAAGACCTGGTGAGACAAGCATGCCAGAGCTGAGCTTCCCTGGGGACAGCAGGGTGAAGCAGAGAACTTCCCTGGCTATTTTTCTAGTTTTGGTAACTTTGTGCAGCTGAAGCTGGGATTCAAAGAAGGATCTCTCTTTAAGAAATGCCTGAGAGCACTGCATGTAAGTATTTATTTCTGTTATCAGGAACTAATTCCTTGTCTTTTCCTATTTTAAAACAGTACAGCGCTTCATCTCTGCTTCCAGTGCACTGCTTTAGTGCAGCACGCCTGAAATATGCAAGCGTGTCCATCTTGAAAATCTTGAGAGTAATACAGCCAGGGCTGCAGATTGCAAACAAGGAATAAATGTGCTTTCTTAAATAACATGCCATATAGAACACCAGAGTGCCAACCAGTGCTATAACTTGTATACAATATGTAAATCCAAAATGCAAAAAAAATTAGAAGTACACTTAGTGACCTCCAAAGCCAGCAGTATGTGATGCCTTGTAGAGCTCTCTTGGCTTTCCTTTTCAGTCCCACCTCACCTTTTCTTTGTGCATCACTGTACAAGGGGAGATGGAGGATGCTTTATGCCCACCACCAGCATATCCTTGGATCAAAAATGCAATTATGGTTGTCAGGTATCGGTAAGATAAATAGGTGGAAAGAAAAAGCTCAGAGAAGCAAAGCAATTTACTGGCTGATTTTAGCCTGAAATCAGAACCAAGAGGGGCACTTAACCACTGAATACATGTTCCTACTTGTTAAATAATCACATCTGGCATTATTGAACATACTGAATCCCTTCCTGAAAGGAGTAATGAAATCATGGAATTCAGCCAGGAGGAAGCGGGTTCCCAATCGATAGTAAGCACTCATATAACTGCCTCACAATGTCTTCGACTGGCAGCTCATGAAAGGATCCAGATCTTAAAATGTTACAGCAGCCCTTCCCTTCATACCCTGGAGATATTTGAACATAGAAAGATCACAGACTTTTCTCAAATTGGCTCTTATCCACCATTTCTGTTTGTTTTGTCATTATTTACTCACAGTTGCTATTTGTCGTCCCACGCTGTTCTGCTTGTAAACTGATTTTAGCTAGCAACTGCCATGAATGTGATTGAAAACCAAGATGGTATTTCTTTTGCCTGAAGAACATCTGGCACTGAGAGAGTTATCTCTGTACCTCCACAATATGATCCTGAATGCTCCTTTCTGTATCACTACAGGGCTGGAGTTGGGAATTGTAGGCATGGGGAACAACAAAGTGGTTCATGGTTTTACTTTACTGTAGATCTTTATGTAGGTCATAATCCTCTGAATTGCATAGGAAATGGCACAGGACTACTGCCAGGACTGTAACTAAAGCTGCTTACTCTATGATCTATTTTTTTTAATCAAAAA